TTGGATAATACCATTTCAAGTAACCAAGACGCTGCACTTGATTGATTAGTACTAGAGTTGCAACGAATATTCGGTAACTATTCGGCTTATTTGGCCTGTTTTTTTTTTGCTATTCGGCCGAATACCTAAACCAGGGTAAGAAATCAGTACGGAGTACTATACAACCGACCTCAAAAGCCATTCATTCCCTAGTTTGCCATCCTCAGAGCTGGAATATTTTCTTCAAACTTAAATGGAGCCACACAAAAAAGAATCATCAAGATCGGTTAACAAATGGTATCGCGTAACATAAATAGAAAAAAAAGCAGTCGGAATTGAGAACCTCCTCCTTTTTTTGAAGTCTGTTAAAAATATAGTAAATTATCATAATGTTGAACATACATTGTAAGTTCGACAAAGCACAAATTTTCGCCCAAAGGAAATGTAACATAACTTAGTTATTTTTCTACGAAATTGAAAAAGGGTCAAATTAAAACTACCCAATAAAGTAGTTTAGTCATGACTAAATAAACTCGTAACAAAATCTGCTAAGTATCAAATTAAAATTATTTTTTTTAAGTTATGAAACTTGTGAAATAAACAATTAAAATATAAAACATAAACATTGAATAGCCTTTTTAGTTTCATTGCACAGAATTATTTATTATTATAATAATAATAATTATAATAATAGTTCTTTATTTGGAACAACAATGATCCATAAAATGTTAGTACAGACTTAAAACTATGTTAGTACTTATATTCTACTACTGACTTGGTACTACTTATTATCATCTATTAAGAAACTAAGGTACAACTTTAGTCACAGATAGCTCAGCATAACAAAAATAATAAATAATACATGTCAAAATTTTAAAATAAATTAATTTAAGTCAAATTAAATCAAATCCATAACAAAATGTCCATAAAATCTTAACTGTTATAAATGATTATAATTATATTATAATTATATTATAATTAATTATAACTTTAGTTAATAAGTGGTTTGCTTATTTTCGTACCCGCATTAATTAGGCCGAATATGGTATTCGTTGCAACACTAATTAGGACCTAATGTCTTGATCTATGATTAATATGCTGAAATTCTGATCTCCCAAATGACGCTTAGACTCAATAAGTAAACGTCGACGTGCTCTTAAGTGTTTTTAATTAATAAAGGTTGACTTTAGTAAGATTTATTAATACGGACCTAAGGTTCCTCGAGTAAAACATGCCAATTCGAGTTTTAAAATTGAGAATTAATAATGACAATAAAATCGTGTTCTAACCAGCATTTATAATTACACTCAGCCATTTAGGGAAAGTGGTATTCGATTAATAAATAATAAAAAAAACGGATAAAAATACAAAATTGAATGCCAATTTCTCTAAATGCTCTGTGTATTGACCATGTCACAATTTTTTTCGTTAAAGGGGTACATTTTAAGTTGTTGTGTCACTTTGGATTTGATTGTAAAAAATGTACGTTTTATTTGTTTATTTTTAAGTTGTGTGATACTTACTACTCAAGCAAATGTCGTGTGTGTTAAAGTAGATATTTTTAGTGTATGAAGTACGTTTCGATAGAAATTTCCAAGCACAATAAATACAATTATACCGTCTTTATTCAAAAACATAGACTAAAGGGTGATTTGTGACATTTGACAACAAGTATTGTTTGTGACTTAATAATTTGTCACCTTTTACTTTCATACAAAAATAAAAATATTTAAAATCGTTCTGAACGGTGATAATTCAAAACTCAGTAACGCGTGTGACGTTCGTTTAGGACGCTTGCACGTTTGAACTTACTACCTTGCTACCAGATATGGATCTAAAAATGTCACATTGTACAACAAAAACTTGAAAGTTTATTTTTCGTAAATTTGTTATATTTTGTAAAAAGTCGTGGAACAAAAGCTATATTAGAAATAATGACCTGAGAGGTTGTTAGAATTTAAAAAATAATCGTATACATAGGGAATGTAGAGGAGACATGATTGTTGCCTCTTACGTCACATTAAATTCTCGCTTCAGCCAGTCCTTCGACCTGATATTTAAAGCTTAAGGAAAATTCTTTCGAAATGTACTAGTAGCATTTTTGAAACACTATATTTTGATGTACTATTTTGTATCCGTTTGACATTTTGACACTTTTTATTTTGTAAATTGTAAGCATTTGTTTGCTTCCAGCCAGATTTGTTTAGTTTTAAAGCTATGCATGCTTAGCAGTTCATAGTATATGCTATATTACGTACGTTATAAGTAAATATATGTATTTGTTGTACTTACTTTTGGTTAGAATATCGCTTATTTTCACCACGTATCCGGCACGCTTTCAAATGTTTACAATGGCGTTCTTCTAATGTTTAAAACGTGTGCTTTTGGAAGTCTATTTGATAACCAATTACTCTACTCCGTATATGACTATCGTAATCATTTACTTTGACACTTTACAATGGTATGACATTGACAACTGAATGCGATTGCTATTGTCATTTTTTATAGATAAATATCAACGTATATTCACGATTAGAGAAAGTCAGAAACTTGGAGGATATGCCCCGGGGCGATGAGTCGTAAAAAAATCTAACTCAACGCTAATTCGCGAATCTTAACATTGAAGACAATTGATTGGCCAGCACACCGGTTTGCATGATGTCGCCGTCTCTGAGGTCTCGAGTTCAATTTCCGACCGGATCCATGTAGAAAAACTAACTTTTCTGATTGTCTCGGGGGTGTTTGTGGTTCCGTCGTCGTTTCTGATTTTCAAAACACGAGTACTTTAGTTTACTTTGGAATCAGAACAACGTATGTTGTCGAATATTTATTATTTAAAAAATATTAGATTATAATTTTGATTCCGGTTCAGAAATAATACTTTTTTCTTTTAATCGTACGATCAGTTAGTGACAATTTTCGACTTTTGACGAGTGTCAAAATGTACGCAACAGCAATCGAGGAAATGCTTATTCCAATTCTTAGAAAAAAAAACACCCAGCTTGCATCACATAGACTTCCAAAACCTAGTATATAACAATTTTATGATAGTACAAAAAATCGCTGTAACGCAGTAACATACCGTGGTGGTGGACAGAGGCTCTGCGCAGAGCAACATACCCAAAACTCTGCAATTGTAAAAAAACCAACTGAAAAAATTCTTCGGTGATCTGGTTCTCTTATATAACTCGACTTTTTATATATTAAATAAACCTTTTCCATAAAATCGACATTGGTGTATTTTTTTAACATGGGATTTACTAATCAATAGACACTAACTATACCCCATTAATTAAACAAGAAGTCAGAGCGTTGAAAAAACCGTAGACAAAAAATGGGTGACGGTTTAAAAAAAAAAGAATTAAAATTCGCTTCCGCTTTATTCACTACAACTACATCTAATCGGGCAAAAGGTTTTTATTTATTATTTTTTAATTAAAAATCTTTGACGTAGTTGCGAAAGTTTCAAGTGTTTGTTTTGAAGTCAAAGCACATGTAAGTATATAGAATCTGGTTATATTTTGTTTGCTTTTTTGTTTTCTACAATGAATGAACTGTTTGGCATGTATAGTTTATTTGTAGCGTAGAAGATTTTGGTATTGTAAAGGTGGTATGTATACATACTGACTTTCATATATTTATCACCTATAAAACTCACTATAGATATAAAAATATATCAATTTTGTCAGTGTACCAGCACTTTTATAAAAAAAAACATTGTGAACACACCAAAATGTTCTACATTGACTTATCAAGTATTGAATTTATTTTGTTATAAATAATGCATGTATTTTTCGTAAACTAATTCAGAAGATTTTTTAAATGATTAGAACGAAAAAGCATGGATAAGTATTTTTGAAATTTCACATATCTTCTGAATTTGTTTATGGTATATTCTTTACACTTTTTTATGCACATTCTTTTTAGCATGTCCATATCTATAGTCCACCAAGTTCTTGTGTATATCCATGAAATGTACCTCTAATATTTCATGTCATTGTTTTTTTTTTACGTTTAACTATTTTTATTCGGTTGCTGTTTGTTCTGTTGAAGTTCACTTTTGTCAAAAAAAAGATACACAAACTGTACTTAGGCCTCATTCTCTGGTACTTTTATCGTTCATATCTCACAGATCGTCTTTCTCCTCACTTTCGTTGCTCTGTGAATTTTGAGTTGCACAGTCGATAATACATAGAGCTTTATACTTTTGTTCGTATATAGCCTCCAGTACGGAACAAGATCCGTCAATGTGTGGCTTGCTGTACTATCCGATTGTACGTCGTGTTAAAATAGTTCTATCGGTTTTCATATACATATATTCCAATATTCATATACAGTGTGCAGATGTGCAATGCCGAGTCTACAAGGGCAGCAAACGTTCTCCATTGATATATGCCTACCTTCTTTATGCAGGGTGGAAATTTGAGATGGGTCACTGCAAACGCAGCTACCTTCACCATCTAGCTACAGAAAAAGGACATGGACAGACTGTCCATTGTCCAGCTATTAAAAAATGTATTTTATCTTGCTGCTTTAAAAAAAAAAAAGAACGCTCATCGAAATATCTTCAAAATTCATGGCCAGTCTTCTTAGACCGTTTTCCTGTAGCAATGACGGTTAAGGTAGCTGCGCTTGCTGTGACCCATCTATAAATTTCCACCCTGTATAAGGAAGGTATACATGCGACGATCAATAGAGAATGTTTGTTTTTGAACGCTGAGTAAAATCGACAGTGAGTAGAGGGACTAGTTGCCAATATTACACAAAGAACCTAAGCCGAAGTCCACTGACGGCCTTCCCAGAAGATGTGGCAATCTTTTTAGGAGGCTTATGATCTATACCATAATATTTTGTGGTACATTGGCTCCAATTTGAAAAAATACTGAACGATAATTGTCTGTATGAGCGAAATATTTAATTCAAAATATATTAAGAACAAAAGTGCATTTCACACAAGTACCTGTCGCCAAAATCGCACTAACGCCTATGTTTCATTGACATAGGTTGTTTTCCTTACACAGACTTCAGCCCGGATGACTGGGGGCCCGAGTTCCCGCTCACCAGCGCCAACAGATACACAATACCTATGCCCACACTCTATAGTGTTGATGGTAAATTTTTAATTTTATTATTGAGATGTTTTTTGTGAAATAACTCCTAGTTTTTGATATGATTGTTAATACGAAGATCGAATACAGAAAAATTTCTTCGACTCGATGGGACTTGAACCGATGACCATGCTGTACCGTAGCGCTGCTCTAACCAACTGAGCTACAGGTCAAGTTACCTAGTTGTCGAAATTCTCCTACGTTTTAATTATAGATCTTTGTACTGGATTTTTCGATATTCATCGCCACTAGTGACCTCTAGTGAGAGAAAATAAGAACCTTCTTTATTTTCATTACTAAATCATTTTGCATGACAATATTCAAAATAATTATTTTTTACAAAACCGCTCGTAAGAAGGGCTCTGAAGGTTCATTTTATAGGATTCTACATTTAACTCTTAAACAACTGCAAATAGTGGTTCTCTGGTAGGTAAAATGGGGTCGTAGATTTCCATAGCTAACTTTTTTAGAAAAAGGGAATATCATATTTTCTACTGGTGGTAAATAAATACTTGGAACTTGATACTGGAGCATCATAGTTAATCTAAAAAAATAGGTGGTAAATAATTTACCTTGACATAATTATTATTATAACGGCAACCGGTTTTTGTTTTACTGGAAATTTAAATACCGTTAATACTATAGTCGTAGTCGTCGAAAGAAACTATCCTATTCTTGCGCAGGCAGAAAGCGCTTCAATTCAATTCAATATTCTTTATTGCACAATAAACAAGCAAAAATACAAAACAATCAAAAATACAGTGTACAACAGGCGGCCTTATTGCTAAATAGCAATCTCTGCCAGGCAACCTTGGGGTGATAGGATAAACTAAAAGTAGTAATAATAATAGAGGGCGCAATAAATATGATATTATTATTAAACATCATAATATATGAATGAAATAAATAATAAATATCTACTAACATATAAATTACATAAATACTTAAATACTAATATAATACATACAAATAAATATATTATCACCACAGAAGAGGGGGAAAAAAAAAAGAAAAAAAAACCAATAAATAAGACAGCAGAGTAGAATTTATAATTTAAGGTAATGAGCCTTAACTAGGATTTTAAATGACTCAATAGTCTTTGCTCGTCTGATCGACTCAGGCAGGTCATTCCACAGCTTGATGCTCCTAGGTAATTGATATTTCATAAGGTTCTTTATTATAAACGCATAAATGTTTGCAGGTTACAAGTATAAAAAGCCCGGTATAATCGAGCTTGTGTTGTACAACATGGCGGCTTTGCTTGGTGGTGTGGCAGCCGGATACGACGTACGCGTCTCAAACGTCAGCCCCTTGCATCCCACACTACAGCCGCATAGGTAATTATTTTATTGCACTCATCCAACACGTGCGCTCGGCGCCGTTTTACGTGAGACAGCGAGAGGCACAGACATAGGTCCGCTCTGTCTCTGAACTTAATAATGTTTAGGATGTACTATGCATTTGTCCAAATTTTGTATTAAGGGTGGGGGTGATTTTGAATAAATGTCAGTTGTAAACTAGACACCGAGCATATTTCACTTCTCCAATTAACAACCTTCTAAGCATCTGCTACAATTTCATGGGGTTGGGGTGGGGGGGGAAGGGTTGCTGCTCAATTGATCTTACCTTCGAATCCCTGTGGTGGCATATAACTATGACATTAATTTCTTAAAGTTGCGTACAATTTGTTAATGTTTAGTAGTGTTGTGAATTAAATGTTTTATTGAATGTCAGGATGTTTTACCAGCATGCTATTCCATTTTTTTTTTGTTAAATTACTCCACTAGTTTGTTATAATTATTAATACAAAGATCGAACACTCAGAAAAAATTCCTTCGATCCGGCCGGATTCGAACCGACGTCTTCTAGGCAAACCGTGTCAGACTAATGCCATCTAAGCCACAGAACGAACCAGCGGATCTCACGTATTTTTCCATGTGCTTGTTGTCGGATCCTGCTATCTGGTTTTTAACTACTTTTTAGCCTTAGCGCCGTTTATGAGAAATCAAAAATCGGAAACATTTATTGTATGAACTGGTAGATTAAGAGTTATGTATGCATACATTTGTTTCGCAGTTCTTAACCAAGTCGGGCGTACAATGTCTTAAAATTACAGTCATTGAAATTCAATTAAGATATACTATAAAACTCACTTAGATTATAGAAAACATTATCAATTAGCCATTTCTTTGAATGAGCCTTGAATTGATTACCATTTAAGTATTATATATATAATGTCAATCGGGATTCTGTTATAAAATCTGATTGCCGTTACATAAGTGCTGTGGTCAAAGATCGTGCTTTTTATTACAGGGAGTGCAAGACGGTCCTTGTTCATTACGTTAACGGAGTGCACAGTGGATATTTTAGTTAAAAAAAATTACTGTGATTACGTACAAAGAGGCATACTTCTAAAATGTATATTCCTGCTAACGTCAGAAAACCCTTTTCTTTGTACAGAGTTTTGAGGGAATAATCACTAGGTTTACTATAGGTTATACGCAAACACCGTTTTTGTATTGTGAATGTTTTAACAGCATCGATTGAGTTTCCCCAGAAAATAATACCATACATTAGTAACGGGTATATGTTCACATAATATGCGTTTATAGCAACTTCTTCTCACGCTACATCAACTAATACAGATAGTGTGTAGCAAATCTAAGAAAGTATTTCGTCAGTGTTGTGAATATTCACAGATACAATAAATATTAATATGCTATTCCTAATAATAGATCGGGAATTCTCGGATTAGTGTTCACTATCTAATCTCAAGTTCAATTATTCAAAACATTCAAGTATATATATATTATAGTATAATTTTTAAATAATATTTCACAATAAAATAATAAAACTTGCCACGGAAACAGCAATCTGAGAATGACCGAGGTATTTTATCTATTAACAAATATCATATTTAATTTTAGTACTCAATACTTATGTATTTTTGCCACAACTTAGTGTAAGAGCTAGATGAATAGGCATTTTTTTAGGCAAATACATACCATCGTAGGTCTCATCACCACTTGTTGAGATTAATAAAGTAGAAAAAATCAAACAAAGAGTTTACTTAAAATAGAATATTCATATTTCCAGATCGGAGGTCGAACAGGAGCCCATGGGCCCTACGCTGTACGAAGGCTACGGCTACGCGCACAACACATATCACGGGGCTACGAGGCACCTGCGCGCGCCTCTCAACGCCATCACTGGATCACCCGTAATTAACTCAACCACATTACAACAGCTCCTAAAATTTGCTTTCTCTGTCTGATACAAGAGTCACGTAAAAATAATTTGTTTTTAAATTTACAGATTTCGAGCCTACAAGCAATAGAACAAAAGCCAATCAGATTCACAGACTCCCCAACTCACTACGCACATCCCTCGTCGTCTTCAGGGTATGGTCACTCAGCACAACCTCTGTCCGGGACCTCCGGTTTAGGCACCAACTACACGTCAACACAGCCCCCTACTCCCTCTCCTAGACGTACGTCCTCTTCTACCTCCGATCACCTCGCATCTCCTCAACTACATGACCTATATCATAACTACAGAGAAAACTTCCAACCTTCGCCTTCACAAGATAGAGATTATTACTACCGCACCGAACCTTATACTTACGACAGAACTGCCGATTATGTTGTTAAACATCCTTACTGTGGATATGACGAATGTTCTTTCGAATATCGAGAACCTACGCCAGATTACAGGCCGACATTTTTAGCGCACAGAAGAACACCTTCGAATTCATCAGCGTCGAATTCCCACGCGGAAGAATTCTCTCCTTCAAGACAGTATCGATCTGAGAAATATAAAGACCGTAGAGAAGATTATAGACCAAAAGGAGAGTTCCCTAGGAAAAATGACTACTCCTTACCTAGAGATTACTATAGAGAACCCCAAGAAGTCGAAAGACCAGGGAATTTAGGCTTGGAACTAGCACCGACCAAACTAAGATCAAGTCTTAAAAAATACAATAAAAAATCTAGCGCATCTGGCGGTAGTTCTGGGGGCGGTACTCCGACAAATCCTACACCTCCAGATAGTTTAACCAGTGAAACGGACAGTTCGTATGTTTCGGCCAGAGACGCATCCAGTGGGTCGCAATCCAGGGTCCGGTTTAGTCCCGAAACAATGGAAGGCACGCAAGAAAGGCGACCGTCGCGACACTCGTAGCGAAGGCTAAAGAAGTTCGACGACTACCTCGTGTGACAGTTGCGGCAACTATATAAAATTATAATAAGGGCTTAGAGGGTGTCATTTTAGAGGTACAAGCATCAATTAGGAGCAGAACTGATTAATCAATTTTATGGTAATCGTAATGACGAGTTATTCCATAGACGAATTTATTAGTTATAATTCTTTAGAATAACTTTTAAAACTTAACTATTGCAGTTATTATCAAGTTAAAGAATATAATATGAGTTAGACAATATTCATTACGTGTTAATATCAGTTGTCTTCAAATTGACGATTGTTGCCCTTGTCAGTGGACCCACCTCTTAAGACCCTGGAGCCGTATCTGTTATCTGCTAGCGCAATGTATATACGCTTGCAAGGTAGGCGTGGAACGCTTTGTTTTACGGTTGCATCCGACCGCTGATATTACGCACCTAGTGTTTCAATCACGTGTAGACATTACAAGCTTCACTTAACTGGCTGGTTATCTAGGACGAACTTGGGTAACGGACCTGAAGTAATATCTGATATAATTTTACTTAGTGTTAGCTTGCTCTCAAGGCTCAATTTACATTGCGGCGGAACGGAATGAAATGGTAGCGTCACTGGAATGCTCGAGATTTCCCGCGAATGCGATAGTATTCCAGCGACCGCGTCTTCAGGCGGTAGTATTTCGTTTTCGTCGACGTTTGACGTCACCTGCGCCTGCCGTCGCACCACTTCCCGCTGCTTCCGGCGCCGCCGATGACAGCTGCGGAATTCTTGCGAATGCGCGAGAATTCCGCTGAAGTCGCGGAACGTGATTTTTGGACCGTATCTAGTTTGCACGTACACACAATTGACCGTTAATGTTCATTATGCTATGTACAATATCGTTACAAATATTCGCTTCCGTGTCGTTCCGCTAATATAAATTGAGTCTAAGAGTGTATACAACCTCAAATGGCTTTGGTTGATTCCGCACAACAGTGAAACTGTTGAATCAATCGCTTTGGGAAAAAAAAAATAGTAAAATTGATATACACTGATTACCATACAGTGTGAAAACACGATTCGTAAAAGTTTTCACGATATAAAAAAAATCACAAACCTGCTTACATAAATTTTACAAGAAAACCGCTGTATTCAATAGGTACTTTAACAGGTACCAATGATTTTTTTTTTATATCAACTGAACTATAACACGTATACTACACGATATGCATTTTTCAAATGGATTTAATTACATTTGTAATAAAATTAATTCTGAAGTGAAGCCAGTGTCCCTGTCGCTCGACCTAATTCATGTTACAACCGTATTCTTGTAGGATAAAATTTGAATTCAAGCTGAGGTAGTTTCGACTCTTAAGTAAAATGTCGAATACACTCGTATATTTATGTTTCAATCACGACTTGATCTCGTTGATCCAGCGCTTAGCGATGCGGAGGGCTCTATTCTTGGTGAGACCAATTTGGGTACCGAACTTTTTAAAATACTAAGTTAAATAGTAAAATATTAAGTTTAAGACCAGGGCCCTAATTCTGCCGGTTGTGAGTCGATAGAGTCAATGGCAGGGTTTTGTACGTTTGGTATTCTGCTAAAAGTTCATTTGCCATTGCAATTTTTTGGTATACTGATCAATGGCAGGTCGATGACCTGCTAATTATTTGACATAAAAAGACATTTATTGATTTTTTTTTTTGGGAAATCACTCCACTAGTTTTGTTAGTAGTAGTGTGCAGTAAGGTTATGAATACTAAGATCGAGAACACGGACAAAAAATTTCGTTTCGTTTTAACGGCGACTAATTCCGAACAAAGATCTATAACTGACAAGTACACGGGGCGGAGGCGGCCGATGCCACTGCTAGCGGTACCGCGCGCGCGGTCACGGACGCCATTCACGCGTGCCCTCGCTTCTCTCTATCTAGTAGCTGATACAATTGATTTATTTAATTGCACCTTGAGTGAATTCAAAAAGGTTGCCTTACATATAATATGTTATGGTTCTTAAATTATTGTATTTATGTGCCTGCTCTAACGAATTAGGTTTTGCCTGTAACGTTAGTCAAGTTGTTATGTGCAAATAAATAAATAAAAACACAGTAGAATTTTGCCGATTCGGTACCCGTGGCTCAGACGGTTAAAGCAATTCTACGGTGCAGCATGGTCCCGGGAAAATGTCCCACCGGGTCGACGAAAATTTTTCTGTGTGTTCGACCTTTCTATTCATAACCATATAAAAATACATGTTATTTGAAAACCAAATTTCTGATCCCACCAAGTCACCCTGAGACATAAGTTGACAAGTCCCATGTGCCTATAATTTCACCAGCACCCTCACCTTTCAAAACCGGAATAGGTAAGATGGCAGTTTAGGTATAGAAGCTCTACTGCTTCTAAATAATAATAGTAATTTGCATAGTAATCACCATGGTAGGTTTAGTAAGGCAACATCGATAATTAGTGATTGAATTAATGAATGAATTTCATTCCACTGACACTCTGTTCTACTCAACTGCCACAGTAACTAGACTTTATCAGAATAACAAATATTGTCATAATTGCAATTACACTTAGTGGAGTCTATGAACTTACAATGACCAGTGCTTTCAAGAAAAAATAGCAGAATTGGGGCCCTGGTACTTTGTGGAGTATTATATTAATAATGTCATAAGAAGAGTCCAAGGAAAGAATGATCAAAGTCACTTGACGAGAGTTTAAATAAAAATGAATTCTTAATTTTGGAGAACTTTTAAATATTGGTGAAAAAGACACGCACAAATACTACCTGAAATAAAGTCAAAAGTGACATAAATGTATGTAATGCTGTGTAATGCATTTTAACTAACAAATATTTATAAATCACTTAACTTTTCTACCATTTATTCGCAAACATTTTTATGACTAAACGTAAAAGCTAATTTTTCACGACATTCAACTTTATTAGTCTTAATTAAATTTTTATTGAATTGATATTCAATGATTTTTTGTGGAATGACTAGTTTGTTATAATTATTAATACAAAGATCAGGAAAAAACACTCAGAAAAAATTCCTTCGATCCGGTCGGATTCGAACCGACGTCTTCTTGCATACCGTGCCAGACGCTATACCAACTAAGCCACGGAACGAACCAACGGACCTCACGAATTTGTCTATGTGCTTGCGTCGTGTCTTTGTGCTTGGTCTTTCAACGACTTTTTAGTCGTAACGCCATCTATGAGAAATCTATTATAGATTTATTAGTCTTTTTTTGATTTAGGCAAAATACGCTCAGCGTTTACCGAACTAGATGGCGGTATTAACTCAAAACGTGTTATAAGTGACTTTGATCATTCTTTTCCTGCTCTCTTCATTTGACATTTCACGCTGAACACCAGGCTGACTTTCAAATTAGACAATGCGAATTCTAGCTGCACCAGCTTGGACGAAGAACGTCAAATGACACGTCAATCGAAGTTCATGTTATCGAATCTCTTGTTCTTACTACCATGATATATACCGTAGCTCGGCTGGGAGAGCGGTAGCACCCTGTGTAGTGAAGTCGCTGGAATTTTTCTGTGTGTTCTATTCGACCTTTGTATCAATATAATAAAATTTGTGTCACAGTCACTGCCGCTCTCTAAAAGGTTCATTCGCATCATGCGTCTTTTCGGCCGAATATTACTTATTTGACAGTACAGTGATGTCAGCATTACTGTGTTCCTGTTTTGAAGGGTAAAGGGTGCTGGTGAAATTACAGGCACATGGGACTTGTCAACTTATGTCTCAGGGTGACGGGCGCAGTAGTAGTGCTCGTTAGATCTTTGCAATTTAAAGCTCTGTAACTGTCATGGACAGGCGTGTAGTTACCATCACGCGCACGACTAGTTCGCCCCGTCACTTGCTGTTATAAAAAAAAAAATCATAAATTCCTCATACAATGTGTTAAATTTTTATGTGAAATTACTCCACTAGTTTGTTAAATATGCTAATAATTATAACAATATGTTAAGTTCGCTCCTTCGGTCAAAGTGAAGCTTGTAACACGGCAGTTTAAAACCACGTGTTAATTTTACATTCCAAGTTAAATGTGCAGTATGAAAAGGACATTTTCAGTGATAAGTAAGTAATTAGTACACTATATTCACAATAAGCTGTATATGTGGAAATTGCCTTCTTTTCAAGGCTAATTTTGAGTTTTGGATATTTATTTTACATAGCATGAATTCCTGCTCCAGCGAACCATTAACCTTATGAACTCAGAATGTTTTAGCCACGTAATTGATATTAATCACTCCGTAATCTAAGCCCATTATCTATCAAAGCGGAGCGGAGAAAGACTGTTACAATAACTAATGGTGTTTCTTTTCGATTAAGCATCGTGATGTCAAAATAATGGTATATTATTGGTTACGTCCGCTCCGGTAAATAATGTGCCATAATTACCGCCGAAACGAGGTGCCCGATCTATATATCTGCACTCTAGTCTTCTATGTTGGTGGATTTTTATGTGTAACTGTCTTCAAATTTAACGCACTTCCAGAGACACTTCCTTTCAGGGCACGTAACCCTTCCGTCAAGGTGTGAAGAAGCATGCAGAGTGGAGGTGGCTAGGGCAGGGATTGTATCAACACTGCATTAGGTACAACACTGTATTATTCCTTCATGTTTGGATTCCATTTTACATCAGGTGAAATGGAGTCGTCTGCCTGTTATGTATAAAAAAAACTTGTAGAAGCACCTCAGTAGCACCACTGTGGCGCTGCAGCCACTATTAATTTTCACACAACGATTAGGAGCACAGTTGCAGCGCCACTGTCGTGACACGTGTTTCCCAGTCACAATTAGTGAACTAAAAATTACCAAAGTGCTACTACTCTACAAACGGCTAATTTGAAGGCACCCTTAAACCAGACACATACGGGTGATAGAATTTGAGCCTTATAGACGAGATTAATTAAGTAAACGAGGCGTAGCGGTACAACCCCAATCGATTTTTAAATAGGACAAAAGTTCCGTTAAAGTAAACATGGAGTGGCGACAGCGCCATTCGATTTTCAAAACGGACAAAAGTAACAAAAAGTGTTGCCATTAAAATTGACAGCAGAAGACAATTTTAATATTTCCAAACAAGGACAGTCGGCTCAAGTAAAATATATATCCATAACTAAAATTGTAATAGCAATAAGCTGTGTGTATTCGCAAATTGTGTTCATTATATAATGTTGTACATTGTGTATGATACATTGTAGTATTGTACTAATTTTGTTATAGATTAGTCGTAACGCAAAACACTATAATAACTTTGAAACGTCAGTACATATTGTGAACTTCTGTAATTTTTTTTAGGTTTTTTCGCAACTCTAGTGCCCTGATTGTAAGGTATCATTTCTATCTTACACATATGACCATCGAGTATTTTTTACGTGTTCTCGATGGATATTTGTACCTTGTGGAATAATATCTGTATAATAAGAAAATCGAAAATCGCACTCCGAGTCTTTTGAAAGATAAATTAAATTATACAATTTAACAAAAAAAGTTACTACCCACCACATGTGCATGATTTGAAACTTTGTATAAGAATGTACAGTTCAATGCCCTGTTACCTGACCCCCTAACTATCTATTTAGTTCTGAGCAGATAGGCCAGTGTGAAGAAACGTGGTAAACAAACTTAACCTTGAACTCAATTTGATCTTTAATTACATTACATAAATACAAATTTCAACCAAAAACCTGGAATTCCTGTACACTTTATAATATGGTCATTCATATATGTATATAGCTCAGGTATCTTTGGGCATTGACTGTACTACAAGTGCAGCTGTTCAAATTTTGCTACAATCACATAATTCCCGTCAAAATAGCTCCATCGCAAATTACAGCTCTAAACGTTCATATATATAGAGTTCAAATCTGCTTGCTTGTTGCAATAGTCCAGAGAACCCGCCTATGGTGAACATTGTCATGTCAA